TGCCCCCGAACGAGCGGTTCCGGTGGGCCAACGCCGAGCCGGAGGATTCCTTCTCGTCGAGCATTCCGATTGCCAAATCGATCAGAGCCTTCTTCGCGCGGCGGAACTGCCCCTCCCCGAGCAGCCTCTGGACGCTAACCCCGGTGAAAAGAATTCAGTGCTCTGCTACTCGGGTCAGTTTGCTGTAAGTATGGCTGGATTACATGTAAGAGGCCGTAGATGTTTCTTTCCAATTCCCTCCATGGAACTTTAGATACATCTCTGTTTTTGTGTTACATGGAAGACCACGCTTCCATCAATGTCGGCTGGCTTTGCTTTCGCCTATATGTCTCATCACCATCACTAGTCGATGCTGCACTAATGAACGAAGAATTCTGGCTTTTTATTGGTGAAATCGTTGGTTCCTTTTACCGTATGAGCTGACCCAGAAGCCAAAGAAAGGATCATGCAAGTCTATTCCTCCACATGGGTAATGTCTTCCATGTTATGGGAGGAAATTTCAGTAGCAACTCTTACTTGTGCTTCAGTGCAGAGCTACCATTGCTTTTAGGGCATTGTATGAAGAGTATGTATGTATATATATGTAAAGCTGTATCACTAAAACAATCTGCAAAAGAGATGGTGATGCTTACATGTACGTACTATATTACTCGATTATGTGCCATTGGTGCTACAGAAAGTGAAATTTCTATTAATAGCAAAACATAGAGGCCATACCAAAAAAAAAAGAGTGTTACTCGAATCCAACATCATTAAGCTCCATTATTTAGTTAGTGAAAAGAAAAACACAATTTTTGTGGGGGAGAAAATGACATGATGATGATCATCATCCACATCCATCCCTAAGTGCAGATGAACCATCTTCTTTTACCACTTGACTTCACATTCCTTTTCCACCCTCCCTCTTGCTGGTTTTCCTCTCTTGGGATCTCCTGCCAATCATCCACCACCATATTCACATCCAATCTTTTTTTCGGTCTATTCAAAATATATACACACGCATATATAGAATATCGAGATATAATCGTCGAGGAAAGGGAAAGAAAAAGCTTTGGTGTCATCTACTACTGCAAGAACTAGTGAGATTTTTCATACCACTTGATATTTTCTCTCGAATGGGCCATCTTTCTTGCTTTCCAAATGCCTTCCTCCATTCTCCATTTTTCCGAGATCCGATGTTTTTAACTTGGCGTTGCACGTTTCTTCCAGCTCCAATCTCATCTGAACCACCTGAAGCACACTCCCGATGAAACGTTTCCAGCTTTTTTCAATTCGATAACGGTGTTTTAAATAGATTGCAGGACCTTAAAGAGCCTTTTCTCGAGCATGGTGAGTCTATGCGCAATTGATCCTCTATGCTCTACTTCTTCAAGAGCCAAAGATATGTCCTTGCACTCGTCATCCTTGGTCGTAGAAGCCAACTCACTCGGCGTAGAACATTCCATCTGGAAAGGCATCCCTTGAAGTTTAGGACATTGAAATTCGACAAAAAAGAAAAAGAAAGAAACAACAAATGACAAGCATTCTATATATACTACACACATATCAGTGAAACGAATATTCTTGGTATTACCAAAAGTTCCAAACGGATCAACCGCGACAAGAGAGGCAAGGGTCGATCAAGTTCTTGGGATGCTCGTTGATCCATGGCGGCTTCTTCTCAATGGAAAAAGAAAGAGAGAGGTTGATCATTGGTGATAAACGAGATAAGGGGAGTGGACAACAAGAAAGTGATCATGTGAGATATGGGCATTGAATTGCAACCGCCTTTCAATTATTTCTTCTTCCGAAGTCAAACCTTTCACATTAGAATTTGGCTCACACGCCCTCAAAGGGAACCTTATAGTTATGATGATGGCCACATGATTTTTTAATTTCTCCCAATTATTTAAGGTTTTCGTTTTTTTAGTTTTCAAATATCATTTGTTCGTTTGAAAAGTAATGACATAATTAAACAATTTAACTATTTTTTTTAATCTAAAACCAAACGGTTATTGGTAACATATTCATAAGAATAAACTAAAAAAACTTAAATATTTGAAATCTAATTAGTTGTATATTTTTCCATGATCTATGGATTACATATACCTTCACCAATTTATAACGTTTTGGGGTTCAAAACCCAAATTTGAAAAAATTATATAAAATCTATATTTGAATTTTCCCACAATAAATTAAATACTGGATCATCAATTATGTTTGGAATCATTTTTTATATATATATAACGAACTTTGTAATGAGAAGAGAACAAAAATGTGATATTTCCATGCTTTGGGTGGCGAATTAAAATAAAGTAGGCGCGTGCAAATGAGACGCTCGTCAAGTGCGTGGGAATATAGTTCCCCCTTATCCCGGACTGTGGCAGTTGACTGACATGTTTCTGGCATTTGGCCTTATTTGCCTTTCCCGATAATTATTTTTTTAATAGGCCTCTTGTATATTGTGGGCCTACCATTTCATTTATCTGGGCTTTACTTGAGCCCTTATTGGGCCTTTACTGAGCCTATACACATTTTGCGCTCAAGAATTCTTGTATTCACACTTCATGCACCTGGGTGATAGCATGGATTCGATATATATATATATATATATATATCAATTTGAAGGTTCTTGAATTAGTATTTCGGATATTAATATTTAAAAATCCGATTTTATATTCAAAGACCTCGGTTTGCGCTGCCCAGATATAACCAAACCAAATCTTATTAATTATTTTAATCTTTTAGTAAATATCAGAAATATTTTGTAATTATTTTAGAACATCGAGAACAATTCCGTAATGTAAACAAATAAATTAAGAGTAATTATACAATTGTTTCAAAAATATATAAAAAATGTGTTTTTATAATTATGTCGGATAGTCTACCTTTAATTCGCGAAAACCGACTTTGAATTCGATCTATGAAAAGAACTTGGTTTACAAATCCAAAATTGAATCCGAGTTCATTGGATATCCGAATATCGAATAACCGGTATAGACATTGGCCGGTTTGGTGTACCACCGGATGCACAAAATTAACCAGAAACCAGTCATGATAATGCCACTTCACCCAAAGTCACATTACCTGAATAGAGGCCAAGTTTAGTCCTGGCTCCAGCACTTGTGGCCCCTTCAGCATCAGAATCTCATGACTCTGCTTTAGCAATCCGCCATTAATGCTGAGCTTCAGCTATCTTTCACTGTCTGTACATGGAAACATCTGGGGTCAGCCACGACCCTACGGCAATTAAGATCACCGAAACTCATAATGCTAACCCCGAGAATGATAAAAACAAGGTTTTGATAATCAATGCTTAAGGGCAACTAAACATGACAACGCCGATGATCTACGGAGGATAACGAAATCACCCGTGAATATGCATTCCCGGGTGAGTTTTCTGGTTCACCCATCAACCAGAACCGTGAACGAAAACCATGAGTAAAAAGAATAACATCATGGGTAAATGGAGTGAACTCCTAATGTATGAGGAGAAACTAAGGTAGTTTTAACCAGTTTTCTCCCAAGAAACAATACTTCCGGTGCACCAGAAGCTCATTTACGTTGTTGGCAGTCGCTACCCGGTCAAGATCTGTTCGAAATTAGCTCACTAGTCATGTTCACAACCTTCAGCATAAGTGTGTGTGGTCAGGACAGAGGGTGGAGACAGTGACAGCAGAGATGTGGACAACAGATCCAAGAACTAACTGAAAAAAAAAAGATATTCTTTTAAGGTAGAACCACACAAAGATTGAATGAACAGGCTGACAGCAAAAATGCCCCCACCAATAAAGATCATGCCAAAGCTATGCAGGCCTAAGAAGTGTGGAAGAAACTACTATGCGGGCACTTCCAAGATCCAAGAAAACCATCATCCCAGAATCGTTTGGTTGATGTTAACAGCTTATTTACACATTAAGGCAAGTGGGAGCGAGCAATTCCGACGTACCTTGATATCTTGCATGAGATATCAACTTCGCCTGGTTTTCGTACCCAGTCGCGTTTTCCAGATGCCCAAATTCCTGTCTGAATGGAAGGATCACAGCCTCTGAAAGTAGCAGAAAGATCTAGTAGAGAGATATCAAACCCACAGAAGAGAATCCGCAGGTGAGTGACCGAAGTTTTCAAGCACTGTGTGCTGGAAAAAATCATAAAGATCCAGCATCATCAAGCACCTGATAATTCAAGAATCAGAAGAAAAACAGTCCTCATTCCGAGTTTTCGGAGTTGACATTCCAGAAACTACATTTCACCATGAGAATAACAGAGGAGAGATCTCTGAGATGTGTGAACCAATTTATTGAACATGACAGCAGAATTCCCACAGCAATATGTCCCCACAGTAAACAAAATCAAACGATCATGGAAGAGCAAAATCTGAAAATTTTCTTGCTCTCCTTTATGAAACTTTGGTATGTTAGTTCTGATGACAAGAAAAGGAAAACAAGAATGTATACTTCTCCCATGTACAAAACAGAAAAGAAACAATAACGAGAGCCCGAAGAAACGAGCCAACACCATAGGATGCAATCGACACCGACATCAATTACACAATAGCAACAGAAGGATGGACATCATTAGAACATCACAGACCGAGGAGGTCGACTTTCATATTCCTAATCTTCTTTACACAATATGAAGTGATACATACAAAGATAGATAAAATGAGCTCCCTTGTTACCCTTTTATAGATAAAATGAGCTCCCTTGTTACCCTTTTATTTCTTCGGACTCGAAAGTGCCTAAAATGTTTCTTCTTCAACCAGTTTTCTGCTCTGTTCATGTTCTTCATGTCCAAACCAAACACCCCACAAAAAGAAAATGCATTTCAAGTATTCCCCGGAATGAGTCGTCTAACCATGGGATCATTCTGAAACCCTTCCAAGGGAATCAAGTCCCTCTGTTCGGCTACGGACTATTCGATGGAAAACTTCTCTCACTTTCCTCTCAAATGGGTCTAAACCCTGTTTCAGAGCTTCATAAACCTGTACCAATTCCTGCACTCTATGCTTCACCTCAACCTCCTCCTCCTCCGTCAATGGGAAGTGAACTGAATCTGCTAATTCTCCCACCAATCTCGAACTTCTCTCAATGTGATGAATCTCTCTCAGCAATCCACAAGCATTCTTTCTGTCCCTTTTCTTCGATTCCTCGAGGATCCTATCGTGCAGCAACATGACTGGAGCCGCCCATTGGAAATGCCTAGGAACATAGAAATGCACTTGTAAGCCCCGGTCCTGGCAAGGTATCGCCGCCACGAGAACCCACATTACGAACAACAAAATCGACGTCATTGTGTAAACCGGAACAGCGAGGCCATTCGTAGCCATGATGTCACTGGCTCGAGGAGTTACCAAGTTATTCCCTATAGCCTGCAATTGCCTAGCAGCAGACCACGACCGCGAAACGCTCCACGAGAGCGACCTGAAATGGCCCATGGAACGGTGGTGGTTGTCCTTGTTGCGCCCGAACGAGCGGTTCCGGTGGGCCAACGCCGAGCCGGAGGATTCCTTCTCGTCGAGCATTCCGATTGCCAAATCGATCAGAGCCTTCTTCGCGCGGCGGAACTGCCCCTCCCCGAGCAGCCTCTGGACGCTAACCCCGGCGCCGGTGTCCAGCGCGCAGGTCACGATTTCGATCAGCTTCTGCCACTGCCTGATCTGCTCGATCCCGTCACGGATCGCGTTGCAGACATCGAGCGCCTTGACGCTCCTCTCGAAGTAATCGGCGATCAATCGGTCCATCTGAGGCTTCTGGAGCTGAGACCTGTGGTTGACGATAATGGCGCGAAACTCCTCCTGGCAACAGAGAAAAGCATCGAGGAGCTTCCCAATCCACTCGAGCGAGAGAATCTCATCGGACCCGGAGACAGTAAGATCGACAAACCTCTCGGTGACCTGTCTCTGGAACGAATCCAGCTCAACCTCCATGGAAGTAGGCTCGTGAGCTCCCGTGGAATCCACCTGGTCACGCCGAAGGCTCAATAACGACCTCCCAAACGATCCCTGGTAATCCGTCGCTGGCATCCTCAAGAAAAGTATTTCCCGAAAAATCGGATTTCCGAGAAAGATAGGTTTCGCTTGAGAAAATTCCAAAAAAGAAAAATCTCCCTTTTTTTTTTCTTAGGCTTAGAAGAGAGAGAGAGAGTGATGAAGAAAACCCAACGAAGGAGACTGGGATTATAAGGGACGGATTTGGACCGCGTTTTAGGGTGGCCTGGTTGAGAAGGAGAACGACCTCCACTTTTTTTTCTTTTTTTTTTAAATGTCAGTCTTTTTGTTAAAATCATGTTAATTGAATTGAAATGGAGTACTTATGAATTTAAACATAAAAATAACTTCTTCTTTTTTTACAATAATTATGAAATAAAAAATAAATTGAAATTATATAGAATAATTAAAAACTGGTCATAAAAGTGTATATAGTTTTTTCTAAATTTAAAAAATTTAATTCGATAAAACGTGTAAAATGAACCTTAAGCTGCAATACACAAAAATTAATCATTGGAACCGGTTGGAAATGTTTGTACTATGCGACATCATTGAATAAATATTTGTTATTAGTACTTCACATGTATTAGTTATTGTCAGATTAGATTTTCTTTTAAGGGAAATGGGGAATTTTATCACATGAAGACATTGATCTTGTAATAATAATCTAATTGACTATCTAATCTTACTTATAATATATTATAAGACAAGATATCATATGATAGTCCATAATTTGAATTTAAAATAATAATTCCAGAAATAGTATCAATATCAACATCTTCTTAAATTATATTTTCTAAAATTTACAATAACTTCAAAATATTAATAATAATTTATTTGCAATTAAAATTAGGTCTACGTCTACATTATCTCTTCATTTTCATTCATAAACTTTTTATTTTTCTAATCTGATGTCATACAAAATTTTATTAATTTTAAAAAAATGCCTTCCTTTTTTTTTGGTTACTCTCCCAACATGCCGTGACACGTGTCCAGGCTCTGAGGATAGAGATCTCCATTTTAAAAGAACAACATAAACTTTCGGCCGTTGGATTGGATGTCATATATTTCTAGACTCAGGAGGCTGTGACAAATAGGAAGTGAAGGAGAGTTCAGAAGATGGCACGTGGAGATATTAGGACAGAGCTGTGACGGAAAAAATGTACCAAGCAATGCCACGTGGCAAATACAGCTAAGTCTTCGTTGGCGCGTAACAGAGACAGACGACTTGGTCCCGTCAGCTCTGATTTTCTCTCTTACATGTTTTGAAATTTTAAAAATAAAAAACGAAAAACGAGATATTATGCATAGACAGTCAAACGAGAAGCCTCGGTTTGCAATTTGATACGTGCACCTTTACAAATTTTAAAATATCAATATTATCTTTGATTTTAAAATTCAATATTTTATTTGTAGTAATCGTATTATTTTTTATGGGATTAAAATATTTTCAAAAAATTTTAATGTTTCTTTCGTATGCTTTATCTTATTTTGATATATAAATATATATTTTTTTATTTAATATGATAAATTGTTCAAATTGCTTTTTTATTGTAATATATCGATTTATCTTTCTCAATTATTTTATTAATTTACTATTTTTTTCTTTTTTTTTTTTGTTAAAGTAATTTACTATTTTTTTCATTCATTTCATTAATTGATTTCTCTTAAGTCATATAACAATTCAAGTGCTTTTGACGATACTTCTAATAAATCGATATTTTTAGATATTTTTTTAAGTTATTATTCCTCAAATATTTTACTTCTATCATTTTTAGTTCTCGATATTTTTTTTTATAATATTAGCAAATTCAAAAAGAGTATAACTCAATTCTCTAAATATGTTATGAGATATCTCTACAAAATCATTTTTTAATCATTTTTGTAAGGTTGTTAATTATCGATATAGTTTTTCCTAATTGTCTAAGATATGATATTATTGTTGATAGTGGGTTTTCTATCCTTAATATTAGGTTCAATCACAATAAAGATTTACTATTTGATTCTATTAGTGTCATTGATTTTTTTTTTATAGATTAATGATTTAAATAAATCATCTATTTTTATAGTCTTTGTTTCTAAAGTTAAAATCATGGTGACTCTTAGTAAGCACATATTAATGAATGTGCTGTATTTAAGAATATATTCAAATAGAACCTTTTCAATTTGGTTCCTTTTATAATATATCGATTATAATATAATTCTCTTTCTTATTCTTTTATATCATTGATATTCTTCGGATATCCGTTTTTTAGATAACTATTGTATCTTATTATTGCTTTCCCATCCTCAGTTTTAAATTTTAATGAAAAGTATGATATTTTTCTTTTAATGTTTCAAATTGTTTGTTCTCAGAAAAGTTTTCCATATATTTATTATATTTATAGAAATCTATTTATTTTCTCGATACACTTTTGTTCCAATAGTTTTTTTTTAAAAAAATTATGTAGTCTTTCTAAGTAGATTTTAATTTTGTCTATTTTTCTTTTTCTTTTTCAATTTTTCAGGATTTTGATTAATGATTATATAAAAAATCATTTCAATAATATTATTTAACACTAAGTTTATTTTTTATTTTATTTACGAAATTATAATTAATATCATTATCAAAGATTTTCCTAATGATTTAACAAAAAAAAAGATTTTCCTAATGTAATAATCGATTTTGACTGTAAATATTTTTTGGAATAGCTATCACCTTTCATTGATAACGGAATATTTGGTAATGATCATTTTTATTGATTAACATTAATGGAAGTTGTTTGATAAAATATTTTTTTTTTTGCATTTTAATAGTAATGGTAATTCTTTGATAAAAATATTCTTTTACGTTATATGTTTGATGGCTGTTCTACTCAATGTCATTTAATTTTCGTAAAATAAACACGAGTAATTAATAATCAACGTTATGTATAACATATGAGTTCAATCATTTTGAAACCCCTAGATCTAGATTTGTCAAAGTTATGGTTGGAGTAATATGCATTTTAAAAGGAATATTTGCAATATTGGCCAATTAAAGACACCCGGAAATAAAAGTCAAACAAAACCAACATTTCAACAAAAATAAGAAGAAAAAGAAAAAAAAAACACAAACAGCATTACAATACAACCAACAGTTCCTAAACTCTAATCACATTTTCTTGTTACTCATGTTTTTTTCTTCCATCCCCCGAGTTGTAGTCATTGTTTTTTTTTTTTATTCACATGCCAATTTCGTGTCGAAGCTACTCAAGCAAATTGCAAAAGCTTGAAAAGCAGAGAGTGGATAACGATAGTCCATGGTGAACATGTCCTTGCCCACTTTCCCAAACTGTAATATGATCTTGTCGTGGTCGGATTGTCCCGGCTGCACCGCCGGAGTCGGGGCTCCTGCTGCTGGCTGAGTCGTGGCAGCGATCAGCTGGAAATTCTTCACCGAAGCAACCGTCACTCGCCCCCTGAAGTTCAGGCACCAACACTGAAGTTGCTCGTGCCACCTTGGAGGTTTATTCTTAAGTACCAAAGGCCTTTCTTTTCCTTCGTTCTCGTCTTCCCCGCCCTGAGGTCCGACTATGTCAGAGAACCGTGTACTGCTGAACTCTACCGAGTGATCGATTATCTTTGATGACCCAATGCTGCGGAAGGATTCATCCAGAGCACGAGGGAGAAGCTCGGGTTGGCCTGGGACACTGCCTCCAGGTTCCAGAGCCGAGGCTGGGATAGAGTGCATGATGCAATGCATCCTGCGTGGCCCGCGAGTGCCAAGCACGTTTAGCTCGTAGCTGATATGGGCAATGCTGTAACTTCCTGTCGGGACTTTGGGAGAGACTTTCTTGGAATAGAACCTCCGACTCCGGCCCGGTGGTGAGAGCTGAGAGTTGTTGTATGGAGGCTGAGTGTCATAAATTATGAACTTGGTTCCTAGGAAATTAGACCTGAAACAAGAAAGAACATGTGAATGCAGCTTAATCAAAGACTAAGCCTGAGTGGACTCAACATTCTAGGGAAAAATGTAGTCAAAGGGTTTCAAGTTTCTACCTTAGTTTGCCTATGTAAGTGCTGCTTGATCTCGAGATGTTGTCTGCGTGCATGGATATCACGTACTCTGTGTAAGTAGTTCTTCGGGTGCGTTTTGCAGACAGCAGAAACTTGCCATTTTCAACAAGTAGAGCTGAAGAAATAGAGTCCGGTTAGAAAGAACGGGGATACACGGTACAGTTCCAAGGAGCTTAACTGTTAACTTGCAAGTTCATACACAAACGTTTTAGACAGTAGAAAGACGAAACCTTTGTATTTACAGGCAGCCAGACACAGAACGCCAATAAAACAGCAGAAGAGATACTTACCCGGACTAAGACAAAGGTAAAGATGATAGGTTAAATTAGACTTGTCCCTCTTGATGAAACACTGTATTGTTCCATCCCTAGCACCTGGCTGTAGTATCAAAGTAATATGAACAACTGTTAGATATAAAGCATTTCGTGTAACAATGACTAGATGATTTCCGCCAGAGACAGTGCCATAACGGAAACTTGCCTGTTTCAATGAAACCGGAAAGGTGATCTTCCCAGAGAACTCAGGACTCTTGACGATTTCCTTACACATATCTCTCCAAGACCTGCAAACAGCAGCACAAGCCACGACGTGCTTGCGAGCAGGCCAAGTGCTCTCGCTTTCCTCCAACCTTTTTATCACATCCCGAAGCAGTTCGGGAGGCAGACTTGCCCAACGGCTGTTTTGGACAATTACCGGATGATCATTCGTTTCGTGCAACGTGCCATGGGACTTTGCCCTGTGAAGACCCGGAAGCCTCACTTCGAAGCTACGCCTTGACAAGCTTCCAATGCTATCCCTGACGTCACGAACTATGCTGCGGAATGACATTTACTGGACTGACAGATAGCTTCAAACTATGTGAACTTTTCCAACCATGAATTAGATTAATATACCCTCCAAGTTAAAACCCAGACAGTAATCCTCTAAATGCACGCCGCTGCAATCAAGATAAGCTTCTCTCAGATTTTGCTGAAAGGTAACAGCCAACAAAAGGAGAGTGTAGAATAGATAAATGGCTTATAGCCAAAAACCAAGGAGAAAAGGTTCCCGCAAGAAAATATGGACCAAAAACACCAAAGTGTTCAACTTTTCATCGGATTAAAACCCTACACAAATCCGATGAATTGCTGTTAACTGAAACTTCATGCACTGTTTAAATCTATCTGAGAATTCAGACAAAGATTCTAGAATCTACGCGAAAGAAACAGAGTTTCAGACGGAAACAGCCGACCCGGAAGTCAAAAAAACTTAAACTGATCCAAGATTTGGCAAGACACGACAATGAAAGGTGTTAGATGAAGAAAACATTTCAAAAGTTTGGTGGAACTAAATCGAAATCAACACGCAACCTACCAATTTAACTATTTCTTACCATTTTCGGCCGAAATTCTGGAAATTTCCAAAAATTAATGCAAAGAAAATCAATGCTCTTGATGATTTTACTACTTATTCCTATCTACTTCACTGGCTCCAAATTTGACTCAAACCCACGACATCTTCGAAGGTTGAAGAGCAAAAGAACACGAATTCGACAGTCAGACGCTAACCTCGACACCTAATCAAGCTCCGTTAGCTTCTTCAGCTTCCTATGGAACCAATCACCAACACGGAACATCCATGAGAACAACAAAAATCCGAAAAATATACTCAAAAAATAGAGATCAGATCTTTTGGTCAAACAACGAGATCTAGTGCCGAAAGAAGCCCAGAAAAAAAAAACTGCAGAAAGATCGAAATGAAGCGGCAGATCTAGTGAGACGAGAAGAAGATCAGATGAAACATACCTAAAGAGATTTGGTTTATCATCTTCTTCGTCCTCTACAGTTTAGATCCTTTGGTTTCTCTCTCTAGCCTGTGTCGACTCTTTTGGTCTTTTTCCTCTCTCTAGCAGTTTACCTTTTCTTCGTTGTAAAGAAGTAGCGGATTTCAAAAGACTATTAAATCCAATTCACCAGCTTGCATTAAGAAATGTGCTGCTCCGATTTAATACCCCCTGCCCTGCCCTTGTTAATTTTATTAAATTATATTAATTAATAGTTAATCTAGTGAATTACTTTAATTAATCAATCACCTCGTTTTTGCTTAATGAGTGGAACTCGTTCCTAGCCAATTATTCCGTCTATGACGATACTACCCTTAACGACGTTTCCTTGCTCCGTCAGTCCACGACATTCCGACCTAACGGTTAGTTTAGTTGACTCCGTTTGCTGTTTTTAGCCACTTGCATAAATTTATTTATTTTTCCTTATAAGAAATGATAATATTTTTTTTATGTTTTTTCAATGGGCAAAAATAAGGTATTTGTAAAATAATTTTTTAAATGGCGAGATTATCCTTGAACAGTGAAAATTATTTGTTTGCCGAGAAATTCGAGCATTAAAAAAGAAAACATTTTTTTGTCGTTTGAGATTTTTTTAATCGTTACTTACTCTCTCTGGCTCGACCAAAAAGTTTACGTTTTCTGAATGGAAGATTTTTAAAATTTTCGAGTAAGAACATAAAAGCGTATTTTTCACCCCGATTTCGAGTCTCAAATTAGAGAAAGATTGAACATATCTTGTTTCTGATCCCGAAATTAGACTAGACCTCGACCTAGAATACCTAATTATCCTAAAAAAAAAACTTAGTTTGCACGTCGCTACTACTAGAATTGGATCGAACTGTGCAAAACATTCGCCTTGCTACCCAAAGACAAAGGGTGGGAGGGTATCACCAATACCAAACTAAATTTCTGGTCTCGCATAAATTATAAAGTTTTTGGAAAAAGGTATTTGTTGAAATCAAAATAATAGATGAAAAATATTTTTGATATAATGCCGATTAATGGTGGTGTTGAAATAAGTGTTGTAATTTAAATAATTCCTTGATATGATTTTATGTTAGATTGGTGAAGGAAACCTCGAATCCGAGAAGAATTTTGACTTACGATAATTCATACAGTACGCAATGTTTATATGTCATGTTGACTCTTGCACAGCTGCATCATGTTTAAACCATTAAACGTATACGTGTAACATCAGATATGGTAGGATTTCATTTTTAAAGAGTCAAAGGGCATTTTTATTTTAATTAATCGTACATATTTTTTTAGGATTTTTTTTTCGTATTTTATATATACCATAATTTATTCATCACTCGATTGAAACGTCCATATTATATTATGTTTCATTAGTAAAAAGTTTTTTTTTTTTTGTGAGCAATCGTTACTATTTTTTGTAGTTCTCAAATTAATAGTAATTGCTATATGATGTATAATTAGAGGAATGTTAATCTCGTCTACACGTGGAATTGCGTAAGCGTACATGAGTAAATAAATATAAGTTATATCATTGGATCTTTCTTAATTACTTCCAGCTGTACTTAATTAACTGCCCAAAAGCTACTTGGATTATATTTATAAACTATTTAATGTACATTAAAGTTGTAATTAATTAATATTTTTATTATAAACCCACCAAGGCACATAGAAGCAAACACGTATATGCTTAAAGAGACGTCGATAAGCTACTGTATACGTCTCCATACGTGTTACATAATAAAAGCATAAACATTGTGCACCTGTGATTGCGTATATATTAAAATATCCCACAAAAGTATACCAACTTCTCGAAATGTTTAGAATATATATAATTTTGAAAAAATATTCCAACAAAAACCTTATGCTTTTTCTACGTAGCAAGCTAACCGATGTAATTTTTTATCCTATTAAATATATCAATGGATATCAAAGTTTATTACTATTTCGTATAGGGAACACTAAATAAATTACGCGCACACACACACATATATATATATATATAATATCATAAACATAGTTGGGGCCAAGACTACTATTGGGCTCATTTATATGGACTAGAACAGTCCATTCAATGCTGTAATCGCATTAATTGGGCCCTACCCTAAGGACCTCATCTTCAAAATGGCCTATTCAACAGTTTTGTTTTGTTTTTCCCTAATACTATTGATTATTTTATTTTAAAAAAAAATTGAGAATCTTATCAAATTTCATGATATCAGCACAACAATCATGCGATTTTTTTCCCTTTTAAATTTAATTTTGCTGTAACCAAAAAGAAAAAAGTTTATTTCAGTTGGAAAGTTGAGGCAATTTAAAGATCGGTTCAAGATCGATAAATATTCGCGAACCCTTGTTTATTCGGACATGGAAATGTGGGTTAATAGTTTTCAAACTGCACAAATGTATACTAATGAATATATATATATATATATAGCATAAATCTCAAATAAAACTTATAGTTGCATGCGCATATATATAGTTGGTAAAATTTAAAAAAAAAACAACAACAAATGTAAAGGGTGAGTTTCAAAAAAATATTTGAAACCACCACGACATGTACTGATGAAACAAAAAAAACAACGAGGACACGTGGCTTTGGGAACAAGGCCGACGAGTCAGTGTTGAGTGGAAATGCGGTCCAAGACGATGTTTTCCTCTTTAGTTCCTCGTTGGATGTCACCAGTTTTGTCCGTTTCTTCTCTGGTTTTCCCCCACAGGACACTGTACAGTCCTCCCACCATCAGTATCGCCCCTCCCACGCTGTCCACATCAATATTGATACATTCTAAGATATAAACGTGACATTTTTTAACATATACCATATAATAATAACATTTTCTCATGAATATGTTGAACACGTGTTTGGATTATTAGATATATATATATATATATATATATATAAAATGTGATAGAATAACGACAAAAGGAGAGAGAAAACGGACCTCCCAAGGTAGAGAGACTCTTTGAAAAGGAAAGAGGAGAGGATGGAAGTAATGATGAGAGCCAAGGGGGTGAACATGGACGTGAAGACCGGCCCTCTCTTCTCTATCGCCCACACTTGTAACCAATACGTAATCCCCGTCACCACTATCCCCTGCACAAATTCACCCAATATATATACTGTAAAATGTTAATTCAGTTATATACATATATATATATATAAAGAGGGGAATTGAAGGAACACATACGCAATAGGCGATGGAGAGGAGAGGGAGGCCGAGTTGGAGTTTCCAGACAGAGGGATCTCTGTCCACTGAGACAGCCCAAATCGCGGTTTGGATGCAGCTGAAGAAGCACTGCAGTGCCACCAGTCTCAGCTTTGCCGGATATTCCTTCATCACCTTTGTCTACCCAATTGATTTGTTAAAAAAAATATATGATTTTTCTTCTTCCATCGTTGGAAGTTTCTATATAATTGTATGCATTATTGAAAAGCACTTGATATGTACAAAAATCAATAAAAAAAATTGTAATTTCATAATATGCCGACTAGTGCTCGAGATATTTAGTTTGTAAAGGTATTGGGTTTTTTTCTTTATGGTAATTTTGGACCGGGATATTATTACAAAATCAAATGCATATGTTATGTGCGGAACACGTGGCACGTGTGACAATCTTTGAAAATGGGATTCATCGGATTCCACAAAAAGGGCCTGATTTTGACTATATAAAATGCGTTAAAATATTTTAGAAAATTATTACTCCCTCCGTTTTATAATATTTAACATTTTATTCTATTTTTTATTACTAAATAATTATCATTTTACGTTTTTCAAACAAAATTTTAAAGTACTTTCCAATTTTATCCTTAATAAGAACTGTCAAATTTCAATAGAAAATTAATGATAACATTAAAATTTATGTTACAAAGGTTAAATGTGACTTATTATGCTACTTTATGTTTTGTCGAATGATAAATAAGCTATAATTACGGAGATATGTCTGAGAAAATGTATGTACACGAACATCAATGTTTTGCCCGAAAACGACCCCTAAAGTATTAGGTAATTCATGGTGATGGATTTAGGGTGATATTATTATTATTAATATAACAAAATATTACAAATTACGCAGTTACATATTCGTGAATTAATGGTTTAATAATGTGATAAATGATAATTAGTGGGTTACCTGCAAGACGAGCCACAAACACCAAGAAGTATTGGCGGAGAGCATCGTGATGGAGCCTTTAAGCCAATTTTCGGTCGACATTGAAACGACGTCGTTTGATGCCACGTCACCACCACCACTCCTTTGGTTTATCAGACTCGGCCCTTTCACAAAGGCGAACACAAAAGCGCCCGACACTCCTACGGCCGATCCCAGCGCTTTGGCCAGTCCATGCGTCTTCTTCAGCGACAGTGTCTCCAACCTTTAGTCGTGGATATGCGCACGTTAGTACACGTACGCGTATATATGCGCACGTTAGTATACGCACGTGTAGAAACGGGGTTGTACGGTACGTACCTGAAGAGAAGAGCGAGGACAAAGGTGATGGACGGGATTGTGTTGGTCGTGGCCGCGGCGAAAGTGGCCGTGGTGTAGTTGATGGCGACGTAGTAGAGATTCAGACTCATCGTCAGTCTGTATAATATAATAGTTGTATAGATATTTAGAAAAAAAGAATGACAATAAATTATATAATAACATCGAACGCAAATCGATTTCGTTATAATGGGTTTGCATATTGCTGCTCGTAAAATCAAATCATTCCCTATACAATTCAAGAACCGCAATCTTGACTTGCGGTCCAAGAATCCGAATCCGGACTTATACCATTTTGTTATATATGTATGTATATACATACCCACATAGAGAAATCAGGAAGATCTTGACCAGCAAGACGAACGACAACGGGGAAGACTTGCCGCTGCGCAAGAGATGGCGCAAAGAACGCATACGGTAAGCGTTTGCATTGCACGAAAAAGAAAAGAAAAAAGAATGGTAAATGAGAAGAGCGATGAACAAGGAACAAAACCTCTCAAGGAAGAAGGCGAAAGGGGCCAAGACCAGAGTGGCAAAGGCTTGTCTGTAGAAGACGAAGACAAAAGGGTTGGTGCCTTGGGACACTGCCAGCTTAGAGAACAGAGCCATTCCTGCGTATATAATCTGTATAAAGAGCATCGCAATGTGTGGCCTGTGGTTCTTTTCCATTGCTCTAATTTTTTTTTTTTTTTTGTTTGGGGTCAAGTGATTGTGGTGTGTGTCTTGAGCTATTGGCTACTGCTATTTATGGTTTGCCTTAAATTAGACGTCCACTATAAGTTTTTTATTATATATTTAAATATACATTTTATCCTATCGAATCGTATTCTTTTATGATTACACGTTTATAAAAAAGTTTCAACATATCAATGATTTTCGGGGGTTAACCATCGTTATAAGAGAGAGAATATATTTAGAAAAAATCTAAAGTTGAAGGATTAGATGCTTTTCATGATTTTGTGGATTCATTACACGAGATAGAACATCTCATATCCCATCGTCATCCGTTCCACATTTTGAAACCCATGTTTTTTAATTTTCTGCTTTTTATTCTTTGATTTTAAAACATATAAATATATTATGTTCATGTCTTTTTTTTTCTTTATTGATAACGCAATCATACTTCAAATTCCGATAGTTTATCTCACGATATTATATGTTGAACAAGGACATGAAACAAAAGTTCTTCCAATTCAACTACTTTCTCATCCCGTTAGTGATCTGATAAGATAAAGAAATCATTCATCTATACTACGACCATGCATTTTCACATTTCGACTTATACGAAATATCAATTTTGATTGTCTATTATCTCCACATTATACATAAACGTATCTAAATAACGTCGTTATAATTATCTGGTTAAAGACGACGTTTGACGAAGTCAACACACGTTACTCTTCATATCATATACTCTAGACATCTTAAGTGTTAAGTGTTTGTTTGACATCTTAAGTGTTAAGTGTTTGTTTGAGAATTAACATGGAGAACTCTCCATAGTGGTCTTTAGTTCTTAAGTGAATGATGAAATATTAAAGAGAAATCATATTCATATTCTAAAAAAGATGATTTATTCATGAAAAAATAATGTATTGACGAATCATATTACGTTTATATAATATCACGTCGATGTTTATATATAAATGGAGACTATAGAAATTTATATATTTAATTTTTTAAAGGGAAATAATAAGTTACAAAATCTTTCTCGAAGGAGAGAAAGGGGAAGATTGATAGTGGAATAAACAGCGACGAAGTGGCGCTCACAGGTCAGGTTGTGCAATAAAACCAAAAATGTATTCAATTATATTATTTTTTATTTTAACTTTACCTTTTTATTTAAATAATTGGTCATGTGGACCTAAAATGATAAAATATGGCGTCGAGACGGTAAACCTTTTAAAAGTTCATAACATGGTTAATATAATATTATGCTAGTTCAGATTCTGTAGCTTTTGTATAACGATTATTAAATTAAACAATACTGATAGTTTGCTCATTAAACGATATAAAACATTTATAATATAAAGAAATTGAGTTCTATAGTCTTATGCATAATTGAAGAAGACACATTTTGCGGTTTTCACGTTTCCAGTTGTTATGTCATCGCAAATATCTTTTTGTCATAAATATTATAAATCTTACATATGTAATCGTTGTTAAATGTTATAAATTATATTTGTCATTACATATATATTCATTCCATTAATTGCTATTTTTTTTAATTTCTTTTCCCCGTCACAAAATCATTGCATATTGTATTTTACCATTTATCTTATGTATAATTTTCTTTTATTTTATATAATTTCATTTTCTTTTTGAAGTTTTTTTTTTTGATAAAATCTTTTTGAAGTTTTGTATTATAAATTCGGTTACTTTATCCTCACCACTATCACAAATTCGGAAG